ACCGACCCACCCCACCACACAGGTACCTGTGTAGCTTTCTCAATGTATCTATGTGGTGCTAATCCAGTGGTAAATATTCATCTGTTACTGGACTGCACCCATTCTTTATTGTAAATGTAAAGGACTGAAACACTTACCTGTACATATTCATGTCGAAGTTCTTTGACCCTGACACCTGAACTGGCTCATATTTTGTACAGTTGGTTTGATCACATCATTAGAAACAAGTGTGAACAATTTTGAATCGTTGTGTGTAAACGATGACAACTGTGCTTTAGTTGTGTTTAAATTTTGCCGCTTGTGTTTAGCATTTTGCAGCACAAATGCATCACAGTGTGACAAGTGTTCAAGTGAATGATAATGTGTTTAGAGTTTTGCAAAAAGAGTGCATGAGATTTGCAAATAGAGCCTAACTGCCTGAACGTGTTTAAGGTTTAGCAGAAAGAGTGCTTTATTCGACAAACCGGTTTAAGCTAGTGAGAATTTGGTTCAGAGATTGGGGTTTAGTGTTTTAGCAATTCAGAAAAACTTTATTATTATTATTCAAGTTGATGGGGTTCGTAAAACACCAGTGAAAATGTAATGTGTGCTGAGACAGTATCACAAATAAATAAAAAAAAGTTTGAGCCCACTTCAAAGTCCAGCTAGAACGTCAAAATAAAACTTAAATAAAAAATGTTATAAAACTAAAATGTATCTATTTACTTGAATGTCATGTGGACCATGAACATGTGAATGTGTCATTAAATGATTGAAATATTGACTTAAAACCTCAGGATGTACATCAAGAAAATATTTTTTATATTCAAGTTTGGGATCCCCTGCATTATGCACTGGTGAAATTAATTAGCATATTATTGCTATATTACATATTATTTAATTTATGCAATTTATACTTATATCCAGAATGTTAATTTGTAGCAGAATAAAAACTGATTCAGTCTGCCATTGTTCTCACAAACAGATCCAAACTCACTGACCTGTTGGCTGCTTAAACAAACAGATCAATGTTTTGAAAGCATCTTCAAGAAGTAAAACCAAATGACTTACAGTGAACATCAAACTGGCCCAGGAGGAAATATTTAACATCCAGAACAATGACACCCAGCCGTTTTAATGACTACATGATGTGTTTGAGTTTGATCTGGCAGCTTAAGATGAACATGAGAGAAGTTTAAACAAGGAATGAATTATGAGTCCATCCATATGGAGAATATGTGGGACTGATGGACACACACTCTCACAGAGAAGGAATAATATGCAATCTTTGTCTATCCTTTCATCCTACTGTACTGTAGATCACCTCTCATCTCTCTCTTGTACCAGCATCGGCATAGAAATTTATTTCTTTTGCTCCTCATCAGCAGAAAGAATGAAAGGAGCAGCTGGAATAACAATGAGAGAGGAAGACTTCAAGCCAGAGAAGTGAGACAGATGAAACAGAGCGGAAAGACAGATAAAGGAAGTGATGACCCTCTTTACAAATGCTTTGAAATGATGGAGCTTCTGTTGATATTTTAAACCGGGAGAAAAATGAGGAACAGGAAGCTGTGACCAGGAATTGACTAAGTTCATTCCAGACAAGATGAAAACACCTATCAAGCACCCAAACCACCCTAGCAACTAAGTGGCAAAAGCACATAACAAAATTACTGAAAATTAAACTAAATTTAAAACGAAAACTGAAAATATAGACATTTTAAAATATATAATTTTAATAATATAAAATATAAACTACAATAATATATAAACAAAACTAAAATACACTGGAAGTGACCAGCTCCTATTTACTATACATCACAAACAGTGTTAGGAAGGTTACTTTGGAAATGTAGGTAACAGATTACAAGTTACCCTATTGTAACTATTACAATTAGTTTATTAAAGTAATGTAACTGATTACATTTGATTACTTTTTGATTACTTTTCTAAATGTCTATTGTTTTCTAAAGGTTAGTCATTTTCAAACATTTAAACCAGGCAGGGTTAACCTTACAGTAGTGCTCAACACCAAAGGAGAGAAAAAAAAAAAAAAAAAAAGTAAAAATAAATAAAAGCATTAACATACAGAGGTAAATTCAAACATCCCTCAATACAGTAATTGAAAGCCAAGCAATTTTAAATGCATGCAGGGGTAAGAAATTCCACAGTCTAGGCAAAAAATAAAGCATATACATAACCCAATTAGGAAATAAAAAAGTTATCGAATAAGCATGTGTCCTATTCTCTGTACTAAACTCCTGAAACATTGGTGTTTCATATGTTAGAGCAGTCACTGCAATTTATGAAAGAAATTAATTAAATCTGTATGTGGGTGTGTGTGAAAAAAAATTCATATGTAACCCCCTTTGTAATCGTTAGCATTTTCATAAGTAACTGTAATTTAATTACACTTTTTTTTTTTCTCAGTAACTGTAACTGATTACAATTACATGTATTTTGTAATTAAATTATTAATTCCGTTACATGTAACTACTGTAGTTACTCTCCAACACTGATCACAAACACACAAAAGCACAGTTTATATAATAAGCTGGATTCTTAGGCAGCATCCTAATTAATATGGCACCCTTCATAGTACACTTCTCATGTGAAGCACACAAGAGACATGACACAAAACTGAGTCTAATTAAATTTGACCTGCTAATCTAACCTTACAATACTCTAAGCATAAAAATACATCACAGACATACATAAATATCTGATTATAGTCCATTTTGTAATAGACTGTACTATTCTTTAGCAATACCCTTCTGTCATTTTCCTGCATCATGGCTTTTATTTAGTTTGGAGTTGGGCGTGGCTTATTCAAACCAATCTGAAAAGTGCATGGGGCGGAGCAATTATTATAAATGAGTAAGCACTTACAATCCTACAGTAAACTGCATAATTCTCTCCTGGCTAAGTTTCACTCAAAATAGTGTGAATTCTCCAGGTGTAAACCACATTTTAAGATGTTTTTTTTAATGGATTTCAACAATATTTTGTAACACTCTCTGTATCTGAAAACACAAAAGTGAGGAAAATACTATCTTATACTGTGATTTTTTTTTTTTCTCAAGATTCTCAGTTAGCTTTCATTTTTATCCTTATGTTGTTTACTTCTGATGTAATAATAATAATAATAATGTATATTATTTATATTTTTTATTATATAAAATAATAAATACTACCATTTATAATATTATTATTACTACTTTGTTTTTATTTATTTATTTCTATATTTTTCATATTTTGTTGAGGGGGTAAATATTCTTTCTGGCATATCAGTGGTTTTTTTTTTCTTTTCTGGGACTGTCAAGCTCTAAAAAGGACAACAAAAATAGTTCTGTCTCAGTCTCACACAAAGCTATAGTATGACTTCAGAAGACTTTGAATATAGCAAATAAAGTCGCATGAACTACTGTTATGGTACTTTTTGGAATCAGTGTATGAAGAAAAAATCAGAATAAACATTCTTCAATTTCTTCTTTTGTGTTGCAAGGAAGATAGCCGACAGCTTCAGAAGGACATAAAGGTGAGCAAATGATGACAGAATCTTCATTTTTATGTGAACCCTGAAAATGCTTTTGGAAAATACTGTAGCTCCAGTCGTGCTGAAGTCAAGTCTCATCTGGAGATTGACGTGGAGATTAATGAAGATCTGATTCTGCCTGCAGTATCATTACCACTGGAGCGGATCAGATGATGACACGGACAGCTTGTCTGGAATATTTTGGCAGGTTATTATTGTTTTCACCTCAGGCTGCAGACAGTGTCTTGAGACCAGAACCGACACTACAAACACTTTTCTCATGACTCTGTTTCTTTCAACTTTGCGCACACACTTCCAGGCAATTATCAGCTAAATATCAATATAATAAATAAGTAACAGCAAGCTATCAGACATCGATATTTAAAGTCTTATTGTAGTGATTCAGGCCTGTTTTTCGTACCAACTCAACGGTTCTGGAGGAGAAGCGATAAGCGCGTGCGCATCACTGGAAAGCGTCGATCAGCAAACTATTCTAACTTCTGTCATAATACCTTCAAAATCAGATCTCTAATCTTAACAAAATTATCAGATAATAGCTACTACTATCAAATAATAAAACTTAAATTAAAAATAAAACGCGTGCCACACCCGCTTATTGCTCCAACACGACCCAGATAGCACACGTACGTCTGGAAAGCATCTGCTGCCTACAAACGTCTGACAGACGTCTTTCAGATGTCAGTTTTACATACATTCTAAATCATAAACATCTTAAAGACATCTAATAGACATCTATTTGACATCTAAAAGGAAACGTTCTATAGACGTATTGCAGATGAGCAAACTCTCTAAAAAATACGTCTTGCAGATGTAAATGCAGACGTCAAATAGACGTCTCCGAGATGTATGTGTGCTATCAGGGGAGGCACTACAAAAACCTAGGTGCTCAGTTTTTAATTAGCTAATGAATGACCAAAAACCTCAAGACGCACCTTAAAATTCTATTTTTAAAAACTTTAATAACATTGAATAGATGCATTATAAATTAATAAAATATACAAGAACGATAACTGAAAGAAAACAAAATATTATGAACAACAATTTATTATTATTATAGCCTATGATAACTTATTGAATTAAAAACTAAATGCTTACTAGAAAGAAAAGAGCAAATTACACAATAAATAAAAAATACAACTTTTGAACTGCATTTGTTTTATACATTTTTGTAGCCTATAGCCTATGCAAGTCTAAAGTGAAAATATGCTGTTCTTTCAAATAAAGACCTCATTCGATCCTTAAAAATGACTTTCGATAGTTGATTCAGTCATACATAGCCTACTAAATTATAGTTATGACTTAAATAAAACGGTAACTGATTAATAGGTTTTGTTACCAAATGAACACGGTTGTAGGTTACCTGACCAATTTTTTTATGACCTCATTATAAGATCTATCCATTTCTTGATTCCTGTACTGTGGAATAAGATGTTGTAAAGTCCAGAGGACTGAAGGTCGGACTCACGTGTCAAGTGGAGCGCAGCTGTGCGGGGTCTCGATCAACTCCTCCGGGCTGCGCGTCTCATGATCGGGTCTGTGTGGCGAGGGCCGCCGCTGTCCGCGGTTCTGGAGACCGTCGCGCACCGGAGACGCGGCGCAGCATCGCCCGAGACGCGCCGGCGAGCGCCCGATCAAATCCAGCGGATCGCGGGGAAACGCGTCTCTGGATCGCGTGTCGGTGCGTGGAAGTGGCGCAGATGCCCGCCGCTTTAGGGGTCTCGGCGGCTGAGGGAGACGAGTCTGACCGGCGGGAGCGGGAGAGGGGGAGGAAGAGGAGACACGGAGCCCCTCGCCTTCGTCAGACATCGGGAGAACCCGTGCTCCACATCTGGTAAGGGAACGGGCTTCTTGAAACTGAGACGCGCAACTTCAGCAACAAGTGGGAGCAGAGTTTTAACCTCAAAACACACCCAGTAACACACACACACACACAAACGCCTCAAATGAGAGAGGTGTGGCTTGAAACACTACATAGATGTGCCTGATGAACATCTACTCATCTATATGGCTTTCTTTCTTCTGTGATACACAAATGGAGATGCAACGAAGAATGTGCGAGCTGTTCTTTTCTATACAATTAAACCGAAAAAAAACATTTTCCTTGAAAGACTTACTTTACAGTCACCAGTCACTTTTATAGCATGCAAAAGAGATGTATTCACAATCTGAACATCTCCAAAAGTGTTTTGTCTTAGCTTAATCGAAATGAACTGGTTTTATTACGTTAAAAGAATGTTCAAATTCACTCAAAAATTTGCTGAAAACTCACCTTCAAGCCATCCAGGATGTAGATGAGTTTGTTTGTTCATGGGAACAGATTTGGAGAAATGTAGCATTACGTCATTTGCTCACCAATGGATCCTCTGCAGTGAATGGGTGCCGTCAGAATGAGAGTCCAAACAGCTGATAAAAACATCACAATTTGTAATTCACACCACTCCAGTCCATCAATTAACATCTTGTGAAGTGAAAAGATGCGTGTTTGTGAGAAACAAATCCATCATTAAGATGTTTTTACTTCAAACCGTTGCTTCTGGCCAAAATACAAAATACGATAGATCAGTGGTGTAGACTATTTTTGCTTGTAAATGGTGCTTGATCTATTTCTCTCCTTTTCACTGGAAGAAGCATTATTATGGATTATGGACTTGTATTTTAGCTAGAAGCAACAGTTTGAAGTTAAAAATGCTTTGATGGATTTATTTGAGTAGTGAAAACAGACAGCAAATATATGCATCAAATACACTCCTATTTTGTATTCTCAACCACAAAACCCACCAAGTTCGAACACTTACTCATGTAACATAAATAAAATCCAAATGGTTAACATCTGCAATTGAGTTCAAGGACTTTAATCAGGGAGAGTGACCAGAATGTGCATGTGGAAACATAGGTGCTTTGGTTCAGAGATGATTTGCTTCATGGTCAAACAAAGTTCAGTGAGCGCTGAATATATAAATCAACAATGTCAGGATTATTGACCTGGAAATATCAAGGTTTGCAGAAATGCAGATCAGAACGGTGCAGTTTGGTTTAAAATACAACACCACAAAATTATATTACTCTGTAGTTTTGACTTGCTTTACAGTACAAATATCTAAACATTCTTAAATGAAGACACATTTACTTGAGAAGCAAAATGACTTAAGGTATTACATCGTTTTCTGAAAAATCCAAATTAAGTGAGTTTTTACCTACAAGACAAAAAAAAATATCTGCCAATGGGGTCAAACAAATAAACTTAATTCAAATGGAAAACAAATTGTAATTTTTGGATCCCATTATTTGTTCTTATTTTAAGCATAAAGTCGCCAAATTGATTTTTCAGAAAACAAGACTTTATATCCTATCATATATTGCTTCTCAAATAAATGTTTAGAGAATAAAAGCTTGTTTTCCCTTGTTTTACCCCACTGGCAGATTTTGTTGATGTTGTTTTTGTTGTTTTAGTAAACTTGTTTAATTTTGATACATTTTCAGAAATGAAAACTTAATACCTTAAGTAACTTTGCTTTGCAAGTATACAGTCCATATATATATATATATATATATATATACTGTATATATTACTGTAAAACAAGACAGAACAATACTAAGATGTGTATGTGTGTGTGTGTTGTTGTTGCTTTTTTTATGCTGTGAAAATACTACCTAAAAACCCAAAAGCTTTTGTATGCTGCTTTTTGCAAAAGATAATGCTTCAAAGCCGCTTCACGGAAAATAGTGACAAAAAATAAGCAACAAAAAGGCTATAGCAAGGAAAAACCATTGTTTTGAAGACGAGGACAAAACATTGGAAAGACTGAATTAACAAAGCAAATGAGAAAAAAAAAACCGGAAAAAACAACTGGATGTGGCTACTGTGATTAGAAAGACAAATGTAAGAAATTAAATATTCTGAGCACAGCAGAGAAGATGATTAGAGTGTTTGTGATGGTAAACAGGTGCTTGTATGTGTGTGTGTGTGTGTGTGTGTGTGTGTGTGTGTGTGTGTCTGTGTTCACATGTTTTTTGTGTTTTGTTCAGGATATCCGATCGCTTCAGGTCTCTTCCTGGGTCTTCTAGGAACATCCGCAGGGATTAATTGGACAAAATCACACACACTCACACAATCAGACGCACACAACACACAAAGCCACACACATGCAAAGCCTGAGCTCCTCCTGACACTGACACTTGACTTCCTACTGAAATCAGGTGGCATAATGTTCCCTCTCCTCATCCGTATCACTCAGAATATCCATTCCACACCGTTTCTCACTGCAATCAATATTTCAGTCTCAGGGGAGGAGTCTGTGTCAGGGGCGGAGCCTGAATGAAGGGTACATTTTATATTGATTGACAGCTGTGATGAGTTCCACATCTCAACTGCAAAAGAGAGAAAGTCCACAAAAGTGTGTGTGTGTGTGTGTGCGCGTTTTTGTGACAAATGAGGACATAACACACACACACACACACACACACACACACACTATCTGATGGCATTATAATCCCACTTAGGAGTCTGGAGCAAATAAGACTCAGTGTAACTGTGCACATACAAACACAAAAATACACACAGACATAAAGCATATAGCAAATGGACCCACTAATTTTCTCATAAACAGATACTCACATACACGTGAACGCAGGTATTCAGATTGAGTCGGAATACATGGGAAATTACTGGAAAATAATCATAATAATAATAAACATAACCAATTTTCGTATAGGTCAATTTTTTTAATTGATTGATTGATTGATTTGCTTTTTTATGTATTTGCTTAGTTCTAAATACACATTGTAAATGATTTCAATATATTAAATATAACATTTTAAACTGTAGAAATATACAATAAAATGTACTTAAAGGGCAAATTACATTTCCAGTATAAATATATTTTAGACTTAAATGCAAACGTCTGGAAATGTGAATATATCCCTCTTTGAAAATGTTAATAGTAAAGTTTATTTATTTACATATGTTTGTCAAAGAAGTCTCTTCTGCTCACCACGGCTGTGTTTATTAGATCAAAAATACAGTAAAATCAGCAATATTGTGAAATATTATTGTAATTTAAAATAACTGATTTCTATTTTAATATATTTTAAAATACAATCTATTTCTGTGATTCAAAGCTGAATGTTCAGCATTATTACTCTTCAGTGTCACGTGATCCGTCAGAAATCATTCTAATATGCTGATTTGCTGCTCAAGAAACATTTCTTATTTTATCAATGTTGAAAACAGTTGTGCTGCTTCATATTTTTGTGGAAATTCTGATACTTTTTTTCAGGATTCTTTGATGAATAGAAAGGTCAAAAGAACAGCATTTACTTGAAACAGAAATCTGTTGTAAAATTATAAATGCCTTCACTGTCACTTTTGATCAATTTAATGCATTTTTGATGAATAAAAGTTTTTTTTTGCTAAAAAAATTTTTTTTCTATTGCTCAATGAATACACTTTCATGTACTAAATCTGAATCACACACTGAACACATGCACTATATGCTGTCTTGTACATATAGCTAAAGTATTCGTACAGGTCAGAATGATCTGCAATCGGCACAATACATCCACCTCAGTACATCCCTGTTAACCCAGTGCTTATTTCAGCCATCAGAACAGTGTAAAGACTGAACAGGATGATGTCTTGGATCTGCTGCTGGAACAGTGTGTGATAGAGAACAGGATTATGGGTTCACAGGTTTAGTGCTGGACTCAAACATCTCAAGGAGGTTTTCACAGCCCACTGTCTCCCAGCAGCAGTCATTCATCAATCAAATACAGCCTTTACTGTTAAACACTATATAGAAGAGTTTGATTTACTTTCTTTGCAGAGGAAAGAAGGCATAAGAGCTTCACATATGCACAGACTCTTTCTCTCTCATTATTCACACTCAGATGTGGATGAGCTCTTCTGAGGGGTTCGGCTCTGACATGCATTATGTATAATGGCTCTCTCTTTTGGACTCCTCTATTTGCCCCGAGGCCTCGACAAAGTATCCTCTCCGCTGCATTTATATTTCTTCAAAATGAGCACACCTAGACAAAACTCTATGAAGGACCTTTAACAATAATGATTTCAAAGGTTTTCTGAATGCATTAAAAAAAGGAAAAAAGCCTGAAAAAGCCCTTCAAGCCTGAAATTCAGACACATAATTACATATTTACTGTTATTAGCAATTGAAAACAGCATTTTACATTAGTAATCTATGAGTAAACAGGGATAGTGAGCATAAGCAATGAGACCCAGTGAGCCCATGAGAAATACATTTTATACAATACATGCATAAAAGACAAATATTTTCCTTGTTTTACAGTACAAATATTTAAACATTCTTAAATTAGGGACATTTACTTGAGAAGCAAAATAACTTTGTATTAAGTCTTGTTTTCTGAATTAAAAAACAAAAAAAAATAACAATTTTTATTTTTCTATCTATCTATCTATCTATCTATATCTATATCTTTTTTTTTTTTTTTTTGCAGTCTGCAAATTAGCCAGACTGTGTTAATATGAATTGATTTTAAATGATCT